CCTTTACCTTCAGATTATACAAAGTTCAGCATCCAGAGTTCACTTTAAAAAAAAGCACATGTGTGTGTGTTAGGAGGCAACGCTGTTTCCTTGTGTTACAAAGACACAGTTACTTTAGAAAGTAATCTTATTTTAGCCAAAAGCCAGGAAATTACAGCATACCCAACCAACCAGGTACTAGCCCTGACTCAGCTCCCCTGCTGAATCCCCCACACTTGAACTTGCTGGCCCTCAGTAACATCTTGTGTGCTTTCTTGCCATCACTCACTAGCCAACACACTCTTCCTGTGGAGAGTTCCCCCTTGTGACTGCTCTTTTGAAGGCCTTCTGACAGCCAAGGGAGTGATTGAGTCTTCATGGAGTCATTCACACCATCCAGACCTTCCTCAAACAAGTGATTTACACTTACAAAACAACCATACACATACAGGTCCCTCTCTCAGTTTCTCCATCCTTCCTGAAAATACAAGTAACAACTTTTACCTTCCTGGAGGATGCTACTTTCTGTATTGTCTTCACCAGTCTTCTGTGGAGATGTCTCTTTTTCCCAGTGGAGAATCTCCTTTTAATAGTGTTTTCTAGCATTGCCTCTGTTTGGGTTTTCACTTGTTTCATAGCTGCAGTTTACTCCAGATGGGCTCTGCTATACTCTAGATTCATTACACTCACTAAGAGTTAGCAGGTAATCTTTGACCCATAGTCTCTGTTGTCCCATTAAAGATGGTCTCTTCTGGTCTAATAATGGTAGGTTATTTAGTTGCTATTCCTCTGTCAGTCAGGGAGAACCCTCCAGAACCTCTTATTTTTTTTTACCATGCAGAAGAAAATGTGGAGAAAAATATCCAGGGTGTAAATAATTTGTGGTTTAAAACAAAACAAAACAAAACAACCCAACAAAAAACCCCCCCTGAGTGCTTATGCTCACATTCCTAAAGGTCTCCCATGTGAAACTTGAAAGAAGGCAAACTGATGTAGGCACTCTGCAAATGGAGCTCATACATTTAACTGATTGTCCTGCCAAGCATCAGCTGGTCCACGATAACTAACAGTGGGTACACTCACAGCTCTCGGCAGAGGTGAGAGGAAATGCAGTGAGCCTAAATATTTTCAACTGGTGTTTAAAGCCAATGCTTTTTATTTCCTATTTGCAGTGGCTTGAGACACAGTTGCCACAGTTGCATTGATGCATGCCAGCTCATTAAATTACTGCAACTCGGTCATATATCTGAATTTGCTGGTAGACAAGTGTCGCCTTTGAAGACAAGTTTTTAAGTGGTTATAGGAGCCAAACAGAATTTTCAAGAATTTTCCATTTTCTTGTTGAAGCAAACAGAGATTTAGAGGTCTGGGATACTTGGGTGGTTGGGGTTTTTTGCAAATTCCACCAGCCTACGAAATACCTCTGCAAGTCTGAGCAGCTCAGTCAGTTTAGAATATGGGATGGGGCTCTTAATCATTTGTGACTTTTCTTATGAAGAGTCTCAAGAAGCAGATCTGAGTTATTCTCATTTGAGGAATATTTATATTCAAGCTTAGCCTGAATCCATTCTAAAAATTATATGAACAACAAAAACCAAAACTGCACTTGAATCCTAACTCTTCCCAGCGTCTGAAGCTCTGTTGTTAGTCCAATAGTTTGCCACTCAGACACCTTGGGCTGAATTTTTTTGTGCTTGCTTGTTTTTGTGAAGGAGTGGGGTTCAGAGTGTGTGTGTGGAGGGGGAAGCATTGACAGTCAATGGAAAATAACCAAAGCCATTAGACTTGCCTGGAATTTACTTGCGAGCTGCGCTGAGGTGAACGTGCAGCCCTGGCACAGTGAGATGCACATTGCATGTGCAATTCCAGTCAGCTGTCAAGGAGCCATCAGCTCCTTGAAATTCTTCCAGGGGACACCGTAGAGAGGGTGTTAGAGGTCTGCCATCCTACATCAGTAAGAGTTGTAGTTATATATGTGGGAAGTTTCTAGAGCATAGTTACAACAGTATACTACTGATTAAAAATAACAGTGCATATTGCAAATTATGAGGTGAAAGTAAAGTTTAGGGTAAATCATATCTCTGCGGAACTGTAAATATTAGCTATAAGTTACCGTAATTGAAGGGTGTCTGCCCTGGGCTGCGTGTTCAAGAACGTGATAGAGCCTGACATTGACTTGCCTCTGTGGCAGCACCATCCCTCCAGCTGACCCCGAGGAGGGCCAGTCCTTCCAGGACTAGCAGTAGTGGCACAACCAAAACAAAATGACTGACACTGGGATGCCAAATTCGTGCAGCGCTCTCCTGCTACAGTGGGGCCGTACGCCTCAGCAAACTTCCAGTGCAGTCCAAAAGCGCTGGTTCAACAACACACCCACATGCCCTTCCTCTCTTCCCTCAGATTTCTAATAAATTCCTGCCTTGGCCAAAAAGTCTCTCTTTTTTCCTTGGCAACTATCAGCTAAGCGAATGTTTCCTGATTTGAAACTGTGCCCACCCTGACAGCCCTCTCTTGCAGCTGAGGGGGGGCAGCCTGAGCCCACCACAGGTGTTGAGCCCGATTTTGCCCATTGATGGTCAAGGGGAAGGTTTCACTGCTGACCCAGACAGTCACATCACCTCTACAGTGATTTTAATGAGGGACTGGACAGAAAGCAAGCATGGAGATCTTTGGGAAATGCTGATCGAAAACAGTGAATTCAGCATGAATTGTTGACATAGCCTATGCAGGTTTTGTTGTTAAAGTTATCACAGATTACACAGGATGATAAAAAAATGGTAGTTTTTGAAACTCAGCAGTATTACCAACACTGATCAATTGGTAAAATATGCCCTGGGGAGTCAGAGCAAAATGAATTGAAGGAAAAGGGAAATAATAAAAAAGGAGGTGGTTAAAGTTTTTATTTTAGTTCGTTGTTTTTTGGGCTTTATTAATTAAGGATTTTCTATACAGCCTTTCATTGAAAGAGTTTGGGAATGAATTTCATGTGTGTCAAGGAACCACTTACATGGCCCTTACTGCCCTACTATCTGAGCACCTCTCACATTATTAAAAGGCACAAACCAGTAAAGCAATATAAACTCTTTTCCCTAGTTCCTTATAAATGAAGTCTAGAAAAGAGGGTTTTTTCCTAATATGTGCATGTCTGAGAGACTAAGTGCGTGTGTCAGCCTGTGTGTGTGAAAAATTATTGATGGGAATGTGATAGAAGATCTGTGATTTGTGAATTTGTGAGCGGAAAGATGACAGAAATTAAACTAGCCTGAGACGTTCAATTTTATGTTTTTCTACAGATCCTCTGTGTAGTCAAGGGGAAGTCACTTGTGCCCAGAGCCACACAAGGGTTTAGCCACAGCAGTGTTTGACACTGCAGCGTTTAATTGCAGCCAGCTACTTACGTGGTATCTGCAGCCATGGGGCAGGTGGCTGGGCTATGTATGCAACTTGGAGTGGGGGGACAGGGAAAGGAAGGCTTCTCTGCAGTGCATTTGCCAAGAAGGGACCCGTCTGGGCTGGTCATTGGCAAATGCATGCAAACGAGAATTATTTTCTGTCCTGGTCCCAGCTGCAGGTACCTTATCCTGGGTGAGAGGGAGGAAGCTATCACTGAATAGCATTGACATTTTCCAAACGAAAAATCTTTCCATTCACATTCCTCCTCTTGTAGATGTCATGGATGAGGTGACCATCGGGGTAGGTTACAGCTTGAACAAAAACCTGCAATTTTTGCCAGATGTCATCTCTTCAAAACACACTGCTTTGTTCTCTGTAGGACTGGGAGGGAGAGTCTATAATAAGGGCACTGGCAAACTAAGCTCTAGTTTTAGAGACAGCGCAGGTTTCAGAGATGCTTTTTACAGTTCAAAAATGGGAAATAACCATCAATAATGTTAACATCTCTAACCGTTTCAGGTGTGCTCATTAAATGTGTTATTCATATCCCTTTTCAGAAAGCATTTTGTATTCTCATACTGAACATGTCACCATCCCCACTGTAACACGTACCAACCCCAGACAGACAGGAATAGAAACCCATTTTAGCATCTGGTAGCTAGATGCCTTTGGTTGCCTGCCCTTTCACCACTCTTAACAGGCCATGTCTCAGAGCTTGGTTTTGAAGCAAAATGCAACTGTGCGGCCACCTGGAGGATCTGGACAGTTGAGCTGTAAAAACCCTGTTGTTTCTGATAGCAGCAGATCCCCCAGCTCTGTGCGATTCGCTTTCCATATTTCATGGTTGCCAGTTATTATGCTGTGCTGCGCACACACACGTTGGAAGCAGGAAGTAGGAGCAGCTCAGCTCTTGGCTTCCCCAGTCTCAAGAGACTGCCATGAAGCTGAAAAACACTAAACTAAAACCTAAGTATCTGTTAGACCTTTAATTAGCGACCTAAGGAGTGTTTGCCAAGAGGAAATTTGAATTCAATTATCCAAATAGAAAGTATTTAACCTCTCAATAGCACTCAAGTAATTATAATACTTGGGGTTGTTTTTTTTCAGGAACTTTAAAAAATAAAACAAAAAGCAAATTCAAAAATGGTAGAAGGTGCCAGGTTTATATCACATGGAGTATACACGGGAAAGCTGTAACATTGCCCGTGCTCCAGACCCTTCATGTTAGCACAGAGAGGGGCAGCCTCAAGCAAGGAGAGCAGGTTGCGGGATTCTTGATTTCCCCACTGAAACAGCCAGCAACAGCATCAGGGCCAGCAGTGGTAGTTTTGTGTCCATCAGTACAACTGTAAACACACAGCTGGCATCAGCAGGTCACCTCACACAGCTCTTAATGAGACAAAGATGCTCAGTCAGTGTCAGAAGGACTAGGACTCATCAGAAGAGGCTGTGTATTCCAGTTCATTTTGCAAACATCAGTCGATACCAACCAAGCCATTTGCATTTCAGATTACAGCGGCTGTTTCAGTCCTGATCCCAGCTGTCCTCTCACTACACATCCACCCAAAAGTTTCCAGAATTAATGCCAAGGGAAAAAAGTCAATATTTTCTTGCATCTCTCTTCACAGACTGTAGGTTGCTTTGGGATTATGTTTATCAGCTGCTTTCTGACAGCCGGTACGAAAATTTCATCCGATGGGAAGATAAGGAATCCAAAATATTTCGGATAGTGGATCCCAATGGGCTGGCCCGGCTGTGGGGAAACCACAAGGTAAGGAAGCAATGCAGTTTTCTTCCTGCAGCACTTCACCTCTCATAACGTCACAGGGTTCACTTACAAACAGGAGAAAAAAGGAAGAAAGCATGTGCACATTGTTGCTTGCTCCTGAAGAGCTGCCTGCTCCAGGCACTGTGCCCCTCTAAAATACAGTATCACAGAGGTGCTAGCTGATTTGCTTGGGTCTGACTTGGAGCCAAGGAAGCTTCTAGCAGCTTCTCACAGGAGCCATCCCTTTAGCCCTTCCCCTGCTACCAAAACCGTGCCACACAAACGCAATACACTTTCATATAGAGAACCTGTTGATTTGGTTTAAAAGTGTTGAGTTATAAATGCATTTAATTATAAAATTACAATGAGTACAACAGTTCACGATCCTTCTCTCAAGGCATCTCATTCCTTCCTGAAACCTGATGCTCAGGGTGTTTTGGCTCTAGCCTGGTGGTCTACAAGGAGGTCTACACTGCATCTTGGCAGGAGCGCTCTGTCTGGGTGCCAGTCTGCACCAGCATTCAGATTTCACGTGCTCTCATGGGACAGACACCAAATGCTGCAGGATTATGTGTTTCCTCACAAAAGGGTAATTCTGCTTTCTTCTCTGGAAAGCAGTTACTGATTTTTGCAGTTTGGAGCTGAGTATGTATAGATGTATCTATATGAGTGTATGCATATGAGTATATTCATATGAGTATATGAGTAGTCAGCATGCTTGACCACCCTGATACCCAGTTACCATGATATTACTGGCTCAGTGGATGCAGGGAGAACAGTGGATGTAGCTTATCTTGACTTTAGAAAGGCTTTTGAGACTGTCTTCCATAATACCCTAATAGGCAAACTAATTAAGTATGACCTAGACAAGAATATAGAGAAGTAGACTGAAAACTCTCTGAGCTGATAGGATTGTGATCAACGGTGCAAATCCAGTCACTAGTGGTGTTACCCCGGGGGTTGATTCTGGGGCCAATACTGTTTAATGTGCTCATTAATGACCTGGATGGTGCAGCAGAGTGCGCCCTCAGTGAGTTGTCAGACAATACAAAACCGAGTGGAGTGGCTGATACACCAGAAGGTTGTGCTGCCATCCAGAGGGACCTGCACATGGTGGAGAAATGGGCTAACAGGAATTTCATGAAACTTAACAAGTTTCCTTGCAACATAAAGCCCCCCACCTGCAAAGGAATGGCCTGGGGAGGTGTTGGACTTTACACTTCCCCTTGTTACATTTCATAAGACCCCAGGTGTAGGACTGTTTTGCTAGGAACATGGTCAGACCCTGGAGCAGGTTGCCCAGAGGAGGCTGTGGAGTCTCCGTTCTTGGAGATGTTCAAAGCCCAGCTGGACACACTCCTGAGCACCCTCCTGTGTCTGGTTGGCCCTGCTCTGAGCAAGTGGGACTGGACTAACTGATCTCCAGAGGAGCCTTCAAACCTTAACTGTTCTGTGATTCTGTATATGAGTATACATAGCCTATAATCTTGATAAGGTCAAGATTTTCTCGTGTGACTCACAGCTTACAAGAACATCTGTCTTAGAGGTCTTGGGCTGTAACACTGGGAATGGAGAGTTCTGCGCTTACCCCGCCTCCATGCTAATAATTTGGCTTTGCCGTCATGTGTCACGTTGGGTGTCTAAAACTGAAGCTACTTCAGCCCACTTGGGAAATGCAGTGGCCTTTTAGCATGTAAGAAATGGAAAAGTCACACACGATATTTCAGGGGTCTTGCCAATGAGCAGAGTCTAGATTTTGCCAGGAAAACTTTGTCATTGTTAGTGTTTAGTTGCCACAGGAGCTCTTTTATATGGCCTCCCTTAGCAAAGCTGTTGTGGTCAGGGCAAGCAGAGGAGGTCTGCTCTTAGGGGGCATTTTAGACAGGTGAATCACTCTCATTTAATACAGCCAGGTCAACACTGCAGGCTTCTGCATGATCTTGGACTGGCAGAGCTGTGCCAAGCCAAACTTCTAACATGGAGGCTTGCAGAGAAAAATCATGCTTCTACTAGTTTGGTGTGTTTTGCCCACGGCAAGGCGGCTGCTTTATACTCGTGAAAACACGGCTTCGCCAGCATAGCTGCCTTTCTGCTGGGAGTTTCCTTGCCAGCGTAGTAACCGGTGCTCCTTGTACCAGAAAAATGCTCTTCATGTTGACATAGCCCAAGGGACTGAGCCTGCTCTCCCAGGTCAGTACTGTGGGGGCTGCCCACCTACAGCTCTGCCAGCACCCATCACTTTGCCATGTAATGCTCAGCTTCAGCAG